CATATATAATTTCTTTGTGGGGATTTCGTTAGTGGATACAGATTGAGATGGAAGTTGGATGAGATTCTCAGCTTGCATGTACTGATCTCTCTAGTGTTCTTCTTAGTGGATAGATAATGTTTGGGAAACTAAATTAGATTGTAAACGTACAGGTAATGATCTCTCTCGTATCCTCCATTGGGGAAGTGGTTACTCTGGCGGCGAGAGTCCTGTATCGCTACTCATGGCCATTGACCAGGCTCACGAAGTGTTTCTTGATAGATGGTGTGTCATGTTTGACTCCGTGGACACTAACGTTCCTGACACACTGTCAAACGACAGCGCACTTGGTTCGATGGGAGGAAGAGAGGACGATCCTAGTATTTTTACGATGAATAACTACTTTGGCATCGGAATTGGAGCTGAGCTTTGTTTAGATTTTCATCTTCAGAGAGAGGAAGCACCTGATAAATTCCATAGCAGGTGAGGATGCAAAAAAAGTAAATCTACTTGTTACAGTAGTTTTACATCTGCTCGATTTAAGGAACAGTGTTGATTGCTAAGGCTATCGGATGGCACTTGCAATTGGTAACAAATGTTTCATAGTCTTCTGAGTTGTTCTCTTTGTCGTCTGTATTTCGTCTGTGGGAATGTGCGTGCGTGACTCTATTTATCATTTTAGAAATCTTACAGACTACCTCCACCTTCCCACCCGCCAAAGGTTATTGAAGGCCGCGGAGCTAATAACCATCCAATATATTTTAACTACCATCGTAAGCGCTTTTGAAAATGGCGAGGCTGGAGAGCCCCGACCTTGCGTTTTATGATTTATTGTAATTATGACTTTGTTGATTCTGTGATTTTCTTTTTTTCAGGCTTCATAACAAAGGAGTTTACTTTAGAGCAGGGATAAAGAAAATGGTCAAAGGCTACTCGCGGATATTTACTCACGAAGTCGAAATAGAGGTGATTATTCTAAAGAACGGAGATATTGGGATGGTTGGTTCATGGTACATGGTTGCTTTCATGGGATGAACTCGGTGTTCTTAGAAAGCGTCTCTCCGCCCACAGCGAACGGCCAAATAAACCCGACAAAATGCAGGGAAAAGGGAAGGGGGAGGATGTTAATCTACAATGGATTAGCATTACAATCAGGTAGAATAGCGATAGTTACAGTAGCTTCACTTTGCCAAAGTGTTAAAAGCTCCTACACTGGGAAGCTGTCTGTCTTGTCTACAAACTTAACTCATTTAGCATCGAATGCATCCTCGGAGACCCAGGGACTGAGTCGATTTCAAGTTAGGGCATGAAGAGCCCCTGGGACATTGTCTTACAAGACTAGTTCCAAACGGTCGCAGTCGTTTTGCCATCTGTTTGGTGCCAGAAAATCTTTGTGTTTTTCTGCTCAATGAGAGTGAAGTGTGCTTTAGAGTCCTTTCGTGTGTTTTAACACGGACATATACTAGTAGCTCAGTTGCTCGCTATGTTTGTTTGTTCCTTGCGACGGAGATTTGCTAGGGGTGAAAAGTTTCAGTCTCAGCACCCAATGTAAGAGGAATCGATCAGATTGTCCGCAAAAATCTTACCGGAAATTATGCTGAATACTTTCGCAGGTATCACTAGAGAACGTGTTTTAAAGTTTGCGAGGCTTGTACTCAACACGGTGGTTGCAGTCATTGATATATCGCTTTAAACGTTAAACGAGACTTAAGCTTAAATCTTTCTAGATTTTTTGCATAATTTGCTGTGACTGAAACTTTGACAATCCTGTGAGGTTATTTCGTCGCACGGGCCACGCAGTTATCGAGTCGGGTAACTGGCGCTTTCGCCTACGTACACGGATTCTCTTCTTGTCCCTTTGTCATTGTCATTTCACCTCTTCTGTCGATTGTTGAAGACCAAGTAAAATCCCTTTGATCATTGGGAATCGATCCGATGCTGTATTAATAGGAAAAACAAAACCAAAGACCAAGAAATATTGGATGGAAAGGGCGGGTTTGCTTTATTGCAAATGTCAGCTTAGTAGTACAGGGTCATCTCCCCACATCTAATAAGCAAAAGTTTCCACGCTTAGCTATTCTTCTTTTTCAAGCGAAGATGAGATTAGATTTTGGCACGCACAGAAAGTTGCGCAAGTACCAGTTACTGGACATACCTGAGTGGCCCGTGCGACGAAATAACTTCCCGGGATTGGCAAAGTTTCAGTCACAGTAAATTATGCAAAAAATTCAAGAAAGATTTGAGCTTAAATCTCGTTTAACGTTTAAAGCGACATATAAATGACTGCAACCATCGTGTTGTATACAAACCTCGCAAACTTTAAAACACGTTCTCTAGTGCTACCTGCGAAAGTATTCAGTATAATTTCCGGTCAGATTTTCGCGGACATGATCGATTTCTCTTACATTGTGTGCTGACTGAAACTTTTCACCTCAAGCAAATCTCCGTCGCACGGTCCAAACAAACATAGCTCTGGGTGTACGCTGTTTTGCTGACGTCTGTAAATATAAATAGTTCAGACTAAAATACGTCTTCATCAAGCGTCACCACTCAAACCTCTTCGGTGTAACTTACCTTTCATGACAGAGCTTAATAACGAAATGTTACGTCAAAGGTACGCGGTCAACAACGCAGGCTCAAGCATACGTGGTTTAGAATTTAGCGAAACTCGCGGAAACAAAAAGGAGCTTGCATTTGCAACCGAGGCATTTTGTTGTCGTCGAAGACATTTTCTTATTTCCAAAGTTTTCAAGGAGAAAATTAATTTTCGAAAATATTTAAGGGGTGTACAAAGTTTTTGAAGGTTGTTCTCTAAAAAAAAAAAAAAGCGGCAAGGAAAACGACGCCTCGAAGCAATAGAAAATCAACAAGGCAAGCGACTGAAAATCAGTTTTTCTGCGCGAAAATCTGGCGCGTGCGGATACGTTATTGAGCTCTGTTATCATTCGTGCTTTTGGACTCGATTCCTAGCAACGGCCATGATAGTTTCATTGAAGTGGTATAAAGTAATTCAAAAACTGTGTCTCAGCCACACTCGGTCTTTCTCTACTCTGCTCGTAAAAGCGCAAAGGCGTCGTAGTCGACAATACGCGCTAAAGAACCAAAATCATACCATGCTTTTCTACAGTTATGTCAAAAGTACAAATTCAAGTGATAAAACCTCTGTCTTGAGGTGGAGTTCAAAACTTAGCTCACCTCTCCAATTTAGACAGAAAATAACTGAGAATTTGAAGATAATTTATGTCCGAATATGTTCTTAAATGAATGTTGTACTTGTAATTATGTGTAGCAAAAGGGTTACCTGCTGAAGTATCCATTTTCAAACAAATAAACATTTGCGCCTTTAAATTTATTGGAATGTGTCATTATAACAAAATAGATTGATGTAGCTGTGCTGCGGAGGAATTAAATTTGTGAAAAAACCTTTTCATGGCTTTTCTTTTGTCCTCTTTAGAGGCATAGCGGTTGTTGAGCTCGGAGAAGAGAGGTGACGCCTTTCTTCGAATTAAGAAACATTCAAACTGGATAATTCATTAAAACGAATGTTCGACATTATGAGTAACTCAAGGCCATTTACCTACCCCCTCACCCAGTGCGATCAAGGCTCGCTCAGAACAAGAGATACATAAATCATTTTTGTATCAGTTCACTTTAAGACAGGCCATTGTTACACATAATCCATACTGTGGATGAAACTGAAGCGAGACTTCGAAACTTCCGAAAGGGTAAACCATGAACGGACTCATGTGTAAGGTCTTTCAGATGTTTTATTGAAGGCTTCGTTTTACAATAAATCTTAACTCGGGGTCATTCTCCTCTAAATGCCACTTTTGCTTCCAAGATATTCATGTTTGATAGCCATGTTTGATGAACACGTTTGAACAAAGCTGTTAAACAGTTTGAATACCACATAGTACAATGAACTACAAAATTAGACTTCAAAACGCTACCAAATACCAAAATTATGGTATCCAAAGACCTTTTATCTTTTTTTTGTGTGTGTTATGGTTAACATCAATAATATTGACGAATTATGTTAAAAAAGTGACAGACGTCACTGCAACTCCCAATGATTTTAATGTTCGCAAACAAGTTATAAAAATTCTAGAAATGAGCTTTTTAGATCATTTATATTCTAAAAAAAATCTTTAACAACCGACGTTTATATTTTCCTGTTTTTCTCCTCTTTTTGTATACTTTCATAGGTTTTATTCATTTAGTTTAATTTACATAGCGTATAACTCTCTAATGCCAGTTGTGGGAATGAACTATTCAATTGTTGTTGTTACTCGTTACCCAAACATCTTTCTATGTTTTTTTTTTTTATATAATCAGCGCTTATGACAAATGTCGAAACATCGCGGAAATGAAGTTACTCTACCTTTAACTACCATTATAATGTTTTCATGAGCGTCACAAAAATTCAAGAAATTAGCTACTTAGGTCATTTTATATCTACCAAATCTTTCGTAAGTAACGTCTTTACCAGTAAGTATTTCAATTTTTCTGCATTTTTACCTTAATTTGTATTTTTCAACTAAAGATAGCTATGAAATGAAAAAATTTGAAACGTAGCCTGTAAGTAATGAACTATTTAGATTACCAATGAATAAAGGATTATAGTTTCGAAAGAAACTGTTTGGGGCTGCGTCGGTGGGAGTAACGAAATAATATGGATATATCAACAAAGTTGAAATGGTAAATTGGCCAACGTAATGATTACAAAAGCTGACGTTTCGAGCGTTAGCCCTTCGTCGGAGCGAATGGTCGAAACGTCAGCTTTTGTAATCATTACGGTGGCCAATTTACTATTTCAACTTTGTTGATATGTCCATATTATTTAGATTACCAGCCTGCTACCAAATATGTTGTGAATGATGTTTTGACCGGTACACTTGTCTAAGTCCTTCTTGTCAAATGTTAGATGCTTCATCGTTTTCAACGATTAAAACGCAATCTGAGAGCGAATTACTCTTAAGCGAGTTAAACAAAGTTCTAGATATAAGCTATTTTAATTGTTTTACTGATAAACCTGTGATAATTCTTATTAAAGCGCGTTGATGTTCTACTATTGTGATCGCATTATTAACCCTTTTTGTCCTTTTCAATATTAGATGTATTGATCTAAATCTGGTATCAAGCAGAAAAATTAGGAAAAGAGAGAAGTAAAATTCTGAGATAGTCTTGACCCGTACCTGTGTCTGAGTTGTTCCTGTCATAGATGCTTTCTCTCAAACGAGTCAAAAAAAATTCTTAAAATGAGCTTTTAGATCATTGTTATACTGCCTCTAAAATTTCTGATAATTGATTTAACGGATTTCCTCCAATTAAATTCTAGGTGTTTGTTCAATATTTGCTTGTCTGTTTTCTAAACTAGAGATACAATTGAGACTGAACTTTCGAAACTTAATTTAAGCGCTAATTAAACATTTGCTTCGGTCAGCTATGATTCATGTCCTATTATCAAATCGCAGTTTTGGGAAAAACTGAGATAGAAGTGTGTAAGGAAAGTAATCAGGACATCGAATCCCTTTTAAACTGAGAACAAGCTAAAAATTACCATGGTAATGAGCCAAACATTAGTTTTAAAACCGGTGGAGCATGTTTAACCAAAACATTTACTCAGCTATATTATTACAATGGATAGATCAGCATGCAGACTGAAATGTCTTATTAAAGTTGGAGCATGGCCAGCTTTTTGACTTGTTGCAGGCCTGTACCATGAGAAAGTTCAATTTTTGTTTAAAAATCTGCAAGAGTTATGTTTTAAGAGTCAAACAGGCGAAAGACAAATTGTAGAACCAGCTGTACAGGATTTTAGGCTGGCTTCACCCGTGATATCTTTGTGTTTCCTTTTATCCATTAAGTTTGAATGTGGTCTAAGAACTATGGTCTATAGAAACATGCTAAGAGTAATAGACTTGAAAATCAGGTGGACATATATGTTACAAGTGACAAAAAACCTAAAAAAACCAAACCAAACAAAAAATATACAGAACAAAATGTTACAATTGACAAAAACAAACAAACAAACA